CGACCGGTGACCCCATGCCTGAATATGGTTCGGAGGTTGTTCACAGGGCACTCCGATGACAAGCCCTGGACGGACTATAGGGGCAGAACAGATAATAAGAATGGAGGATAGTGATGTTGGGTCAAGCAAGGCTGCGACTGCGTCGAGGGATGGCCATTCCGTCTGTGTTTCAGTCGCACCCCCCGCACGTTGCAATCCGCTGACCAACTGCATGTTGACTGTCGATATCGATATGAGCCCCATTCTACCACCAGCATGGTGATATGCGGCACTAGTACGCACGGAAGACATCAAATATAGGTCAGCCGGAGGTTGCAGGAGATAAATCACTGGCATCGATGGCAGATTCAAGTGAAAGGAAATCCTGGTTTAACAAAGTATCGTTCATTCGTTCAAAACGTACGACTAAAACTTACAAAGACGGTGTGTCATGAATCATTCAAAACAGCCTGTGACCTTCAACGTAATCACTCTCTACCCGCCCTCCGTCTAACTATCCTCACAGCTTTTCGAAACAAACTCTCCTCGCCCAACCCAAAGAACACCATAAATCCTGTGAGAACCACCATCCCAACCAGGGCGTAGCACAACACAGACCACCCATGTCCGTTCGGTACATTATCGAAGACCTGACCACCAATAATCGGGCCAACTAGTGCAATGAAATTCAGCACCGAAACGATCGAATCAACCGGGTGGCTTACCAGCATTGCCAATCCCATACGCTAGGTTGAAAGCTCCAGATACGTGAGCATCTAGAGCGTATGGTCAATCAGGTAGTAAGCGAAAGAAATGAGGAAGGACGTACACCCAACTCCGTCCATTCCTTTCGATTCCCTGGCCAGTTCCGCGGTCAAAGGCGCAAATCCTCCCGATATGAACATAACTGCGACATCGAAAGTCAGAATGGCAAAGAGCAAGAAGGAAAAGAGTAAGTGCAACTCACACTGCACCGCATACGAGATAATAAACAGCGGTAAGATGTTGAACGTCAACGCGATCCAAAACGGTACTGAAAACACCAGGCCAAAGAATATGACGGGGGCTGCACCGAATTTATCCGCTAGGGTTCCGGCGAGGGCGTTTGCTATCGTGAACGTGAAGGATCAATAAACTACAGACGTAGAAGAAAGGAAAATAGGACGAAGAAGGGGAAGAGGTAGAGACACCAACGCACATATGAAGCTCGGTACAACAGCCGCAATAAATATCAATCCTACTTTCTCGGAGTTGAACCCCCAAACCTCGTTCATGTGGACAGGAAGAGGGGGTTCGAGGGCTGTCATGATAATCCTGTGAATGCATGATGAGCTTCGAGTACATGAAGGAGAGCCTCGAGTACATGAAGGAGAGGAAAAGATGAGGTGAAAGGAACCGACGTACCCATCGACCAAAACACATATCACGGGCGTCCAAGCTTTCGGAGTCGAGCATAGCTGCCTCAAGATGCTCACGAAGGAGACATTATTTTGCTTCTGTTCCACAGTGGCGACAGTGCTTTCCTCAGATTTCGATGTCTGCACCTCCATGACGATTGACTCTGGTCGGCCTTTGGACAAACCCGGCGGGTGTACCGGCGTTTCTGCGCTGGTATCTTCCTTCTTTGTCGGTGTTGGAGAAGCCGGAGCGGCAACATTTGCCGCGGCCGCGTCACTGCTAATTTCTACGTCACCTGAACCTCCTTCCTCCCGAGAACCAGCCACATCCCGATCCGCCCTGTCATCTTCCTGAGGATCGAACCCCCATTTGATAGCGTCTGCGCGTTCAATGACCACTAGCCTTACGAGTAAGTCGGCGACAGCGGCTGCGATCCCGAATATGCAGGTACCACGAAACCCAAATCGCTGGTAGAGTGCTCCACCCACTGGTGGACCGATCAAGAACCTGTAGAGAAGAGGGCAAGATCGGGTGTAAGGACGAAAAGGTAAGGGAGTACAGACGTAGGTGCAGACGTACCCGACGGACATTCCTGACATCGCGACACCAAGATACTCTACAACGACGTCAGCACAGCAAAGCCATGATGAAAGAGAGGTACTGACTTCCAAACGACCTCTCTGGCACCGTGTCGCACAGTAATCCAACTCCTGGAACCCATACAAGCGTCGATGCAATACCTTGTAGACATCGAGCGAGTGCTAACAGCCAGTATGTGGGAGCTTCCATCATCATGATTATTGCCCCAATGAGAAGAATTATGCCGAGGACCAAAGGAGACTTTCGTGCGTTGTAGCGTTCAGAAAGCATCGCAACGGGAATCGTTGCTGAAGAAGGGGGTGAGAGGCAGCTGAGTGGGTATCAAGACGTAGCGAAGCAGTGGAAATACTCACAGAGAGCTAATCCCATCGACTTTCAACCCAAAATCGCAGTCAGCGTCCGGGTAAAAGCAAAAATGACCATAAAAGACACCAACATAGCTGAACAATAACCATCCAGTAAGACTGGATATATCACCATAGCCCAGTTTCTCGAGTTGAAAAGGTAAGACGGGTACAACGAGGGAGTAAACTAGGAGGTCAACAGAGATTCCTGTCAAAACGATACGCGGTCAGCATTAGACAAGTTCACCGTGACTAGACGTCGTACTCACCCAGCCATACCACAAAGGTGACATACCAGGCTCCGGCTCTCCATCTTAGACCAACTGGCTTGCGGTTGTGAGGGGACTCGGTGGGCATCGTACGGTGGCGAGATGCGAAAGAAACCAATACGGGGATGGTCTTATACCCATGCGTCCGAATAGGTAATAGCTAAAGGCCATAATAACGTGAGCTGTCCCCTGTGGTGCTGATGCAATCCCGTATTTTCCTTGGAACCGGCCCCTGGAAGTTGCTTGACGCGTTTTTACTGATGACTCGAGATCATTGGGCCCTGAAACAATTCATTGGAAGCCAATTAGAGCATTTGTAGTGATAGGAGCGGTCGCGCGTCGTGATGATGGTGGTGAGAAAGCAAGATGACAGAGACGCGTTAAGCGCTCATTTAGTCTCCCCTATTAGGTGCACTCGCACGGCTGCGGGCACTAGCTGCCAGTTTGGTTTAGAACCTCGTGAGTACATACTTATCTGAGCTCAGATTCCATCAAACACTTACTTTTACAACGTAAGCCAATTAGACCGTGAACATGTCAGACAGTGATATGGAAGTTCCGGCTCAAGAAAATCGGCGGTTGGTCCAGTTCAACGAACAATTGCTCGACGAAAACGCAATATCGCGGGATGAAGTAGAACGGCTTACCTGCCGTCAGAGAGACCCGACCGTTTCTGTATCCTACCCTCACAAACTGGAAGAAGATCTCCTTCAAGTTGAGGAGACTCAGAACCAGCAACACACCAAAAGACCCGACCAGCCGACTTGTTCGTACGATGTCTCCAAACTTCCGCCAGACTGAGAGATTTTGAGCGAGATATTCACGCACTAATGTTCAACTGGCGAGTCCCCAAGGTTAGGCCCCCTTCCTTTCAAACTGTCGTTCGTATGTCGACTCTGGAGGGATTTGGTGCTTTCTATGCCGTCTTTGTGGACATGGATCACTCTCGATCTTGGAGAAGATTGGGTATGCGATCCCTCCTTTTTGGCACTGTACCTGGCACGTTCCCAGACCTCTCCTTTGCACCTTTATATTGACGATTCTGGGGGCAGTTATGATGACTATACGAGGGACATGTTGGAGAAGCGCGTGCTTATAGGAATCCTACTTACCCAATCCGACCGTTGGGCTTCCCTTGTTCTTTATGCGAATAGCTACTCAGCAACACACTGGGCAAAACCTTTCCTCAGTAACCCGATGCCTCCTTCGTTCCCGAACCTCAGGAGCCTCGAATCTCGATGGTGGCCAACTCAACGTCTACTACTAGATTCGCATGATCTCATAGGCCCGGACGATAAAATCTGCGTTCTATTCCAACGCCCGCCAAATCTCACCACTCTCAGTCTTCCTTACTTCCCACATCTCAACAACCCCCCAGAATCGTATCTCGTCAATTTTCCGTGCACTCAAATAACACATTTCGCCTTAACTACACCACTGTCGAATCTCAGTATGCTGAGAGCGTGGGAGCCTTACACCAACTCACAAGAACTTTTCATTCCCTTGTACAACCTCACCTTCAGCTACCTCCTCAACGTGGAGTACATCCGATGGGAAAATCGATTTCGAAATGACACTCTAACCAACATCAACATCCACTTTCCGACTTACATAGACGGGGAGCTAAGCGTCAACCTATTCTTCCGAACAGTGATCCTCACCGCGTTGAATTCCCTCACCGTATTCTGCCCTCGAAACGCCACTGTCCAAGGTGTATCTGAATGCGGTCGACCGTACCCGTCAGGACCCTGGGACCCAGACGCGCTAGAGGACATAATACAACAATCCGGATGTTGAATGGAACATCTCTAAGTGATTAATATCTTTGTATATGGGGACTACATCGAGAAGACGGTTCAGTCCCTACCTGACCTGACAAACCTCACGTTTTACGAACCGGGAAATAACGAGTTTCTCATCGAATCCACGACGCGTTTACTTACGTGTCTCGCTGAGTGAGAACAGATGGACGCTCCGAGTTTGAAGGAGCTCGGGATTGCGTTCGCTTTCCCTGGTTACAACAATGAGGCGCTTGTGCAAGCGGAGGAGTGGTCTGCAAAGTGGGTGGTTTATATGGCTGCGGCTCGCGCAGAGAGAACGCTCCCGAAGCTGAAGATGACGATTCAGATTGGTCGACCTTTGCTACTGTCTACGAGGGAGATTCTTGCTAGGATAGGTAAGGCAGGTGTCGAGGAATTGGTCGTATTAGTCGAACCGTAGTACTCTCCCGTCAGTGCTTAATATCTGCACCTCCAAATATTAACGTATCTGAGACGACTTAACCCAAGCCAATGTACATTCTCTGGGGGCTAGGCCATCCCTGAGGTCGAAGAGAGGTACGGTCGTTGGAGGAGATGTCACTACTTGTCAGACTGCCTGTCCAAGATCGTTTTTGGGCGCAACACGGTATGGTGAGATGGCCGAGCGGTCTAAGGCGCCAGACTAAGGATCAACGTGTTTGACGCGTTCCACTTCGGTGGTAATCTGGTCCTCCGGGGCGTGGGTTCGAATCCCACTCTCATCATTCAGGTGTTTGAGAAACGATACTTTTTGCCTTCATGGGATAACCTCGTCCAACTTCGTTGAAGTTGCAGTTGTTCTCGTATCACTTTTCTACTCCACGAGGAGGAATATGCGATTTCTAATAACCATCGCCAGATCTATACACTAAACATTAACAAGCCCCAAGCCCAGCGCACATTCTTCACCGAGGAACTATCGTAGCGCGTGCACACATCCCGTCTGGTTTCTTTGTATGGTCCGGTGCCTCATGAAAGTCCTGTCGACTTTGTCCATGTCGACCTGTCAGCTCTTTGTTTTTGTTTCTCGCGATGTGCGGGAGGAAACCGGTTTCCAAGCTGGACGTGGGCTTCGGTTCTTCTTCGTACCATGAGCGACCTGGACTCGGGGGTTTTCAACACGCTCCCGCCTTGTAGATATCGTTCCTTTGCTGACTCCGGTATATATCGTGCATTGAACGAATAATCCATATTGGTTTGACCGTTGCAAAGCGGTTATATCGATAGTGAGGTTTGGGAGCGACATAAAAATACATGTTCTAGCTGTGGCATATGAGCGAACTGAGTCGAGGTCGGAAGATATACATAAATTACGGGTATTGTGATGATTATGTAGTTTAATGTAAACTTGTGCTGTGAAAAATGCAATTGTTCGTGTTACATGCAAAAGAAACGCTTGAAGTGCTTGAATGAGTGCTTGATTCTTGACAATATTGTCGAACTCTTTAGCCGAATAGAAGCTTGTGGAGGTTGTTGAGGTTGAGGGAACCCTGTCCGAGAAATGTCTAAGTACGCGCGATGAGGCGACGAGCGAATACCGAAAGACAGACCTGCCACTGGACCTTGTGGTTTGCCGGCAAAGTACTCTTCGTCGATTTGCTGAGCCTTTTCTATCTCCCTTTGCCTCCTGGCATTTTCGTGTTGCCCGGTCAGCCTAAAGAATCGCGATCAGAGATTGAAATGAATGTCGACAAGATGATTCACATACCTTCGAAAAGCCCGTAGTTCTTCTTGGAAATCTTCCGGGGCGTTCACGCAGTCCACCTCGGAAAGATCATATGAGACGTTGAATACAGGAAGCTCATACATCTCCATGTCTCGAGTGCAGACAGAAGCTGTTTCTGTCGACTTCTCTCCGTCCGGTGGAAGACCCAACTCCTCCCTAAGCTTCTCGTACGCTTCAAACAGTGCGTCATAGAACTTTAAACCAGTTAAACCAGGATTCTCGCGTTTGAGTTTCTCTCTATCGATCATGGACATGATCCGTTCGTATTCTGATTGAGATACATTGAAGCCATGAGCGATTAGCGGGAGACATAGAAGAGGAATACAGCACACCTTCTTGTGCGGGATCTACTTCGTCCTCAGAGTCATAGTAGTCCGACCCGACAGAATCATTGTCTCTCGAGTCCCCTATCGCAGTGCATTGTGACTCATGAGCCGGGTTCAACCTTGTTTGTTGATTCCGCCGATCCTCATCCATCAACAAAGTCGACTGAAAAGCATTCGTGGATTCGAGCTCATGTATGTGAGCTGGCTTCTCCTTGAGCATGATGCTTCGGCAACGAGCACTACCTCCAAAGAGATGAGACACGTAGCAATCCTGCCATGGAAGGGGAATAGACGGCTCAAGGGGTTTTCGCGATAGAGGGTGATGGGTGTTCGGGAGGATAGGGACGGACATCTCGGGTTCGATACACCTCTCCTTAACCTTCTTCCGTAGACCTTGATAGATGAGCTTGAATTCATACGTGTGGTATGGTCTTGTTGGCAAGAATCCAGGTTGGTCCCGCTGTAAGGATTCGGAAAATCTAGTCAGTTCCGACAAGACAGCTAACGATAAGCTGGCACGTACCATTCCAACCATTGCAACATACTTCTTACAACTGAGTTTTCGACATGCTTCTGTAAGCTCTGGGTCCTCTAGATGCTCGACTGTTGCAACAGCGTCAATGCTGAAGACTACGATTGTGTTGCGTTGTGGGAGTTCCATGCTGGTCGGTAGTGTTTGAGATTCACGGTGGTCGTGGTGCGGGGGAAGAAGAGCAATAACGTTCATTTTATAGCTGTTAACGCTGTTTTGGCCATCGTGCCACAGTGAGTCAGACAAAGGCCAGGCTCGCTCATTGTTGTCCAGCACGGATATGGAGATGAAGAGAAAGACAAAGGCCCGCTAGATTCCCACGGGTAACCTCCTTGATCCCGAACCGCCACCTGGTGTCACCTTCTGCCACGATCCAGTTCACTATTCGACCAATGCTTCCGTTATCAATGCTCCTGTTGACCGTATTGATGCCACATTCTACTTTTGGCGTGGCTCATGCTTTGGCCCATACTCAGTGCCATAGTCCTGCTTTGCCCGCGTTCAACTGCCACATACTAGTCTGCTGCTTTTGTCTGGAAACTGACTCTATATAATGTCGCTGCCAGAGTTTATTGGAATCCACCACTCATATTGCTCCCCTCGCTGGACGATTCACGCCCTACGATGAAATTTTGGAAAACTTCACAGACCGCCACAGAAGACCCTCGAGATTGTCAAAACCCTCAATGCACCCCTCCTCCCTCACGCGAACCTAGATGTGGAACAAAGCCCGAAGTCGGTGATATTGCTTGTATTCGCATATCCGCTCTTGCTCCTTTCTATCATATGCTTGGAGATAATAACACCGACCGCGGCTGCAAACCTGGAGACCGTCCGTGCATCATAACGTCAATCAAGAACGATCACACTTTCGTTGTCTGCCTGATGGCCACCTTCGACAAGAACTCTTACGAGGAACTGCCAGACATAATCAAGGAATTCATCGTCCTCGTAACTACCACCAACCCTTCGGATAAGTCATCTCTAAACACGAGACTCTGTCACATCCATACGACCCCAGAGTGGGTAGTACCGCCTGCCTTCCCCGGCTCACAATACCTTATCACCCTCCCTGTCACCGCTCGTTTGGTCCCCTTCAAGAGATGGAGGACGTCGGATATGCCTTCGGACGCGGGATTCTTTCTCGACAAGATTACTATGTCAAAGCTGGACACAATCATCCTCGAACACGCGAACAGGTCGAAAGAATGGTTAGTGGAGAACAGTAGTTTGAAGGCAACCCGCTTGCTCCAGGAACTACGAGCCTTGGAAAGGGTATGTACTCCCTGGACTATATATGAGTGGCACTGGCTCAATTTCCTATCTCAGAGGTACAAATCTAGGAACAGAGCAGCGGATGACGACCGTGCTACGCTCGCAGTGAGTTTCAGGGTCAGATCTAATCTTGCCAATCTCTGAACGTGTTACTAGTCAAGGAGAACCTGGGGAACAAGAGGCACGCGGAGCGCGCTTTCAGCGGTAAGTCTATTATGTATGATGGACCTTCTCCGGTTGAACGCTACCTCAGGGCTTCACCCCGATCGCTGAGGGAGGCACAGAAGACGTGGACGGTTATAAGATTGTCGGGTCAGACGTAAGTCCTCTTAGCATTTTGCCCGTGTACAGGCTCTGATTACACTCACGTTCATAGGGAAAGCAGGTCAAACCCGGATTCAGGAGATCGAGAGCACCATCTTCAAGGGCACCGAGTACCGTCGCAAGCACTTATGGACCTCGTCGATCAGCGCTATCAGCCTTCGGCGTGGTCCATGAATAGGAGGACGCAACATCTGTTCTCATCCGTCTCATGTATCAATATGACCAACTTTTGCTGTTCGACATGCGTCTCGCCACGCTACGCCGTACGATTCACTGTATCTAAACATGTATCAACTTTACGCCACGTACTATGCTATACTCTATGCCCAACAATTATGCTATATTCTGAGTCCGGAATATTAACTTCCGTGCTCCAGCGGGTAGAGAGACTAGGGTAACCTCCGTCTTTATCTTCCCATATCGCTCCGCAAATGTAAGCTGTCTAGACTCTGGAATCTGGGTTCTTGCGATTATACTGGCGAGGCTCTGGATAGGAAGGTTGAGGATATCGTGAGGTCGATGTGGATGATCCGCGCGCTGCCCGGGGCTTGGGGATCCTTTACCGCGTAAATCAAGGATTTGAACAGCTGGTACGCAATCTTCGAGATCTCTGGGTGGTCAAAGAGGCCCGATCGATGGGCATGAAATTTGAATATCTGCCATTCACGTCTCAAGATTCCCTTTTGGGTATATCCACATGGTGAGATGGCCGAGCGGTCTAAGGCGCCAGACTAAGGACCAACGCGTTCTGACGCGTAAAGTAATCTGGTCCTCCGGGGCGTGGGTTCGAATCCCACTCTCATCAATACATGTGATGGCTATTTGCTTTTTGCCTTTTGGAAAGCTTCCAATAATGCGTAATACTTACTTGAGGACGGATACGGATATGCAATCTGGTCAACCATATTCAGTGGCTGATAGTTTTCCCTAGAATGACGGTACTCTCAAGACTAAGCTCAGGGCTAGTCAGTACATACTCGGCTCTCTCTCTGTTGAAAAACTCGATGACTATGTATTCGGGCGTGTGCTGCTGCCAGTGCTGAGTACAATGGCAATTACAGGTAGCCTCCAGGACGCGCAAGAATCACGTGGTGAGAAAATATGACCTAAGCCACTGTTCAAATAAATCTTTTTTTTTTCCGTGGTGCCCGGCAATATATTTTCCTTGTCCTTCACTCATCGTCTCCCAAATTATTCGACAACATGTTGGATGCCTATGGTGAGCTTCGAAGCCCAATTTTCTTCTTCCAAGATGACTTTATTCTCTTCCCCGTCCTACACGACCATGCCGAGGAATAGAGGTTATCTGTTCGCAACAGATACGCTTTCTACGGAGAGCCCAATGTACTTGCCAGTGCAATTTAGTCTGAATTCATTCTTTCCTCTTCATTTGATTGACCTCCTTTGCTTCTTTGCTGACTTTTTCATATCTCAGAATCATGAAAACAACCCTTCCCGTCGATGAACATACGACGACGTAAGTCAAGTCTCCCGCGGACCTTTGCCATCTACATTCTACGTCCCGTTGACTCTGGTCAACCTTACGAGTCGCAGTCTAGGCTACGCCGTCACCTTTATGATGAATTTTCCGTTACATTCGCAGTTTCCACTCTAGCGTCCAATCAGTACTCCCCCAATGCGGAACGCTTAAATTCCCCCTCTGTACCATGTTGAACCCAAAAGGCATGTGTTGAGTGTGGGCCGCTCCTCTCCGGAGGTTGTTGCGCTGGCGGGAAGCGGGGGTCGACGCGGTGAGGGTTCGCAATGACCTTCCTTTGGATGTCTGATTCTCTTCTCATTCTTGCTCTTGCTTCTCGATCTTCGTCTTGAACTCAAACTGACTCTATCTTTCCTTCTGTTTCCTTTTAACTTCCATCATCCAAAATCCTATCCCCCCGCACCTCCTCGCTGTGGCCCAGTCCTCTGCTCTAAATAAGAGTACAGAGCCCTGAAAAGGTCAGATAGCCAGGCAGCCGCGTTGGGAAGCGATTTGTGATTGAAAATATACTTGCATTCAGTGGAAGAACACGTGAAACACGCACGAGGCCGCTAGAATCGACAGAAAGCGGTGCTATTCATTTCTCTGCTTCCTACGAATACCACCACCACCTTTTCCCCTGTTGCTGTGAGTCGTTGCTCGCGAAAATCGAGTCGACGGGGAGCTCGACGTCGCCAACTACGACCTGCTAACTGCTCGGAGAAACACGGATCCGTTATCTCTTATCTGACCGCAATCCATCGGCCATCACTACTGGCTCTCCCCATAATCAAATTCAACCTGCGAGGGTAAAGACATTTTGCCTCGATTCCACGAGCACTGCAGAAGATCTCCCCTCGTTTTCCCCCGACAAAGAGGTTCACCACACGACGACGGGACGGTATACTACCGGAATTGGTCTTGCAGGGATTATTAGACAGCGCTGCTGAGAGTGTATAAAAAGCTGCTTGACATTTGTGCAACAGTTGAGTACCACGCCTGGAATCACCATGCAGGACCCATCGTCTGACACTACCACTAGCAAAAAACCAGCCAATGAAGACACTCGTGGTGTAGCCACCCTTCAGGCCCACTTACCACCACCTCCCTCGCACTCTACTCCCCAGCCGGCCCCTGCCCCGACTGGCACTGACCACACACCATCAACAACGACTACACCGGCGGCTACAGCGGTGACAGCCAAGGCCTCTACAGGACGGGCTACGGTGACATCCACGTTTGACGAGGAGGTGCTTCAGCTTATTCGGGAGTCAGAGACGCCGCCTGCCACCCCGGGCCCTGCAACGAGGAGCAAAGGGAAAACCAAAGCAGCTACTCCTCTCACCCCGACCTCCTCCAGTGCCCAACTCGCAGACAAGCTGCTCGACTCTGGGAAGAAGCAGGCGAAAACGAAGGCCGAGACGTTAATCAAGGACCTGGAGACACGCATAGTCGAACTGGCTAGTAACAACCGCAATCACTTCCTCGAGATACACGGACGCATCGACCGCGTTGAAGGTACACCCTCCTCCCTCGCAGATCCCCAGTATCGCGAGCGTCTTGACGAACTCGAAGGCACTCAGGCAGCCCTTAAGTCCTCCAACAATCAACTTGTCACCCACGTCGACAACCTTACACGTCGTAGCATCGAATTTGGGAAACAACTCGAACAGATTTCAGGACAGCTTGCGGGTGTTGGACACACCCAGGAGAAGCTCCTTCGGATGTTTGATAATATGACCACAGATGCGGAAGAGCGCCCACGTAAGAGGCCAAACATGGGTACGCATGCCTATAACGCTCCGCCGCCAAATGATATAGCGCTGACTAGCCTCATACTAGGGGAAACTTCATTAGCCATTGACAATACTGCTGCCAGTGCGGCGGCTACTGGTAATACGGCTGTGGCCACCCTAGCCACCCCTGCGCCCACTGTGTCCTCCACTGGTACCCCCGCCAATGCCACGATGGCGTTGAACCATACTCCCACCATTGCGACGGCTGCGAACTCTATGCCACAGCCAGCTACACATGGCTATGTAGGCCCCCCTGCCCCACCTCCTGCGCCGGGTGCAGGAGCTGCGGGATACTATGAAAACTCCCCGTGGTATGCCTCCACTGTTCCTGCAGCTCCTGCACCTGCTCTACCCCCACCACCAGCACCAGCACCAACGTACCCGGGTAATGGTGCTCAGTACACGGTTCGTGTTGGACCCATTGGGCTAGGAGGTAGCGCCGACTACAATGGTGTTGCACTATCGCTGGTGCGGCTTACTCGCAGAGGCCATCGGCTATCCCACCGAGTTCGTGGCCGCCGCGAAGGCCCTGACACCCTCATCCTCTCATGGCGTACGGCTACTGAGGCCCGAGATTTCTACGAGGCGTGGCACGAGGATATACCTCGAGGCTACGAGAGTGTCTCGGTCTCGCTGGGCCAGGGTTTTTAGAGGGGGCAGCCGAGCCAGCGATGTCGTCTGTTAGTCATATGTTTACAAATAGACAACCTTCGACTGTTTATAACCTCGATAATGACAATGATACTCCCTTTCCCTCCATCACTACTGTGCGTCTCCGAGTGAAAATGTGGAATATTAAAGGGAAACTGAGAATCAAACTCGACTGCCCCGAAATCATGAATGATATTAAAAAGTATGACATAGTACTAATACAGGAGACCCACCTACGACCGGAAGAACATGAATGTATAGAGCCGCCGCCCGGATACACACTATTTGTAAGATCAAGGCCAGCCCCAGAAGACCTTCGTCGACCATGGGGCGGAGTACTGACCCTGGTGAAGACAGAACTCTCACCAGTATTGCGGGGCGAACTCTCCTCGACGGACACCCTCACCATAGAGGTAGTAGGGTGTCTGATAATCAATGCGTATATTGTTCCGGAGAACTCAACTAGCTGGAAAGAATTTGTTGATAAACACCCATTCAATAAACTCTTTGAAATACTCACCGCGGCTAATGCTCTTGATGTGCCACTCATGGTCCTGACGGATATGAATGGACGCACGGCTGCCAAACAAACTGAGGGACCATGGGAACCGCGGGTGTCAGATGACGAGAGCATTACAGCTCGAGGTAGAGCACTTCTAGAAGAGCTAGGCTCACTTGGGATGTCAATACTCAATGGTCGTCAGAGCTTGGGACCCCGCACTCACTTCTATACCTCGCATCAGCCGAGGGGAAGTAGTGTTATTGATTACGGACTAGTAAACCCGACCATGTACGAGAAGGTCAAGGTCTTTGAGATTGGGGAATATATGGCGGAATGGTCTGATCATGCCCCTCTACACGTAGAGTTTGACTGTCGAGTGGATACAGGAGTGACTGCTACATCACGGACACCGACCAGCAGGGGGACTAAGAGGAAGAACAATAGCCTGCTCAAGGAAAAGCGACCCTTACCGAATGACACAGAGCTTGACCGTATGTACGTTGAGGTCATAAACTCTGCCTCTAAGCCCAAGGATGATCCGATGGTAGCCATGTTTGGGTACCTTCCTCCATCAATTTCACAGGGTGAAAGCCCGCTAAGGCTGTATACAAGTGCGGCATGTGATGGGACTGGGTCTATGTTGGTGAAAGCAGGTGCAGGACTATATGGGGGGCCATCCTCGCGCTACAATAAACAATTCCGGGTACCAGGGCCATCTCTCTCACTTAATAGGGCTCACCTCTTTGCGATCTATTGTGCTCTGAGGACTGTGTCCCTCACAAAGCCAATGCTTGTAATATCAAGCTCTGAGTATGCTGTCTCGGCACTGACAGCATACATCGGGTTCCATAACAAGAATCACTGGAATTGTGCAAACGGCGACTTGCTGAAGGCATTAGTCTATATTATCCGCCTGCGGAGTGCATCTCTCCATATATCCCTACAAACTGCGCAGGTTCGGAATGGGGATGAAGCGGAGCAACTGGCATATAGAGGACTACTAGATGAACTGACAATAACTATCCCACATGTGTCGAGGATACACCCAATGGGCGAAGTGGTAACAGAGGGCAGATGTAGAGTGACAACAGACTACTCTGTGCCAGACCAGGCAGCACAGAAGAATACTATAAAAGGATGTACAGACTCCCTTGCCTCCCATCGCAACAGAAGTAGAGTTCTCCGCCGACAGGACCAGAACTTAACAGAGTTTAGGGAGTCATCAGTGAGTCCAAAGAAATTCTGGGATACATTTCGGAAATATGCGGGTAAAGCAGCGGAGGACACTGGCCTGGTCACAGCAAATGATCTGATGAACGTATTTAAACAGCGTATGAACACAGGGGATCTGCACCCAAGCTTTGATGTCCCACAATACA